GAGAAGAATTTTCTTAAGACTATAAAAGCACTTCAGGAGTTAGTAGAACTCAGCCCAGGATGTCAAAGCCATCCTAACAACAAAAAGCACATTGAAAATAAGGAAAGAGGAAGGATGTAGATGTACAGACTTCTGAAGATTCAACCTCAGTAGGGGATCAATTGTCCTAATTTGTGAAGGGAAAGTACATTTGATTTAATTCATGGGTTACAAGGAAAGAAACAAGAAGGCCAAGTAAAAAGTGAAAAGAGGTAGGATGTAAGTAGGAAGCCAAAGCGACTGGTTTCTGTTTTGTACAGAAACAGGCCTTGTGGTTTACAACTGTTGTTGCTTTCTGCATACACAACTTGAATATATTCATGCCCATAGTCTGCAAGTGCTGCCCAGAATTCTAAGTCTCATTTTGGCTGCTCAAAGCATTTTCAGACTGCAATTATGTGCCCAGTACTATTCTTCAGCCAAAAAAGCTACAAACAAGGAAGGTCTGTGACTATCATTATTCCCAGAAACATTTCAGGATTTAGAATATAACTTTGTTGCTCACTTAGCTTGTGGGTTTTTGTTGTTTTGGTTTTTTTTTCTGTAATACCTCCTAAACAACAAGGACACGAAGTCTCTAGTACATCTACAGGTGTAACTACATACTGATGTGTACAATCACATTTCTAAAGTACAGCAGCAGAGCTTGATGCTGAGGAAATTGATATAATTAAATTCAAAGGATTTGAGGACAGCATAAAGCTAAGCATGTGCTTAAAAGCCTTTTTGAATAAGAATTACGGTTGTTTACTCCTTCTGCTTTGAAGTCCAGCTTGTGATGCTTGTTGATGATACCTACCATGCAAGATTTCGGGCCTTGCCTTTTCTTTCAGACTCCCTTAAGGTGGAATTTGGGAATGATACATTAGGGAGGGACAAGATGCAGAGTTTTATTTTCCAGAGAGAGCATAAGCTGCCTTTCAATTTCATACTTTATAAGAGCAGGGCTGCCCCACAGAGGCAGCAGTCCAGGAGCTGAGGGCAACCACAGAGGGGCACTGACCTGAGCAAGGGCTCATCCCAGAGCATCCATCCAGGCCAGAACAGGGCTGGAATGGTGGCAGGGGCTCTAAGAGTCCAGTGATCATTGAGAAAATGAGGGGGGACAAGCCAGGGTCAGGCCAGGAAGCCCACTCAACAAGTCAGGAACAGCAAAGGCCAGAGCTGAGAACAGTCTGCCTAAAGCCCAGCCTGGGAGAGGACTGGGGCTCTGGCTGGTCAAGGACTCCTGGTATGCCCAGGACCTGGCATTTCTCCATGGATTAACATGAGATTTCACCATTTTTATATTTAAACAAGCCACTGACAGAAAAATAAGTCTCATGCTAGATGCAAGTACAAGCCTCAGGCTCTCATGCAAACATTTTAGTTGCAGGAGTTTATTGCTTTTAGAGAACCATTTCTATTGACACAGGAGATACATATGTTTACAGTGGATCTTAGTAAGATCCTAACTTACTTAGGCAAAGGATGAGAACAAATGGTTAATAAAGAGAAAAGAGCAATGGCTTAGTGTTCAGTCAATAGTATTAAATTGTTATTTACAGATGTCAGAGTGCTTTTCAAAGAAGCTGAAGAAACTCAGAGAGAATGAGCTGTGCACAAGTCATCCAGCAGACTGAGATCAGAGAAGCAGATATTTTGGATTTATTTTGGATCACAGTCTGAACATGAGTGTTCCACACTGTGTTGTTGCAAAGAAATATCAGTTGTACCAGAATATTAAATTTTATACCAACCATGTTCCTTCTTTCTAATGAGTGGAACATCACAGCAAGACAAGAAATCAGCAGGTCACCTCATCCAATGCCACAACCTAAAGGAGGATCATATAGATCAGCAAAGGTTACACCTGACTCTGGAATTATAATTGTGAAGTTAATCAGCTTCCTCATACAGTCAACCAGAGACCCAGAAAAAATTAATGCTGGCATAAGACAGTGAGGCAGAAAATGAGTAGCAAGGGGAGGAGGAAAGGCAGAGATTATTTATACCAGTATAATGTGCTGAACTATGATGCTACTTGATCTTACTGAACATCTTCTTTATTATTTCTTTTAAAGTTATTATTTATTTTAAATGTTTCCTGAATGGTCACAAATGTTTTGAAATATAATTCTGTGTCCTCTCCCCAGCTTTGATTCACCTGCAAAATTAATAAGAATCCTCTCTGTTCCGTTATTTAAATTGTTAATACCAATAACACAGAGACAAAGACTGAAGACAGACTCTAGAAAACCAGCAATATATCCTTTCCTTTTGTCACTGAACTATTTCTTGCTATGAACTACTCCTTGCTATGCAGGAACCCTCATAATACATTTACCCAGACTGTATTTCTTTAACTTTTTCGAGAAAATGTCATGTAAGTGTCATAAACATAATTAAGCTGACAACAGGCTCTGTCCTATTCATAAGGCCTGTTCCCTATTGGAGGAGAAAAATCAAGTTATCTGGTGTGATTTATTTTTGACAGATCCATGTTGACTGCAATTTTTCTTTGGTTATCATCTAGATACTAATAATAGTTTGTGAGGTTTATTTGTCCAAGGATTTTTAAATGACTTTAAGTTAGTTACACTCAAATTGATCTGTATTTCTCTGCCTCCATTCCCCCTCTGATAACAGCAATGCATGGTTGCCTCTTCTGTTTTTCCAGCATCTCATTCACCTTCTTAATTCTTCAACTGTCTTTCAATCACATTCACTAGACTCCAACTGAAAACATTTGGTTCATCTGAGTGCACCTTATCAGTTCTTTACCTACTCTGGGCTGAGATAATTTTGTTCTCAGCATCACCAGTCCCAGCTATCTGCTAGTGCATGGTCTTTTTTGTAAGTCTAATAAAACAGACACCAATCCCTTTAGCTGTCTTCCTAATTAGTTGATAGATTTTCTTCTCTGTTGTGTAGGGGGTTAATAATTTCTCTATATCCTTCTTAGTACAAATACATATAAAGAGCAGTTTTTATCTGATAGCTCTTGACAGTTGAGTGGTTTTGCAGCACTACCTTTTTTAGTATTTTCTTCTTATTCTTAGTGATTTGACCCATCTTCCTTTGTATTTTCTTCATGTGCTTAAGTTCAATAGAGACCTCAAGATGTGGCCAAGCTAAGCTTACTGCTATTTCTGTTCTACTCACAATTGGGATAAATGGCCCTTTGAATTATTTTCTAAAGCATCTTTCCTTTTCTAATCTCCTTTCTTTAAACTTCCTTCCTATGAAATCTTAACTATTGATTGCTTAAATCTTTAGCTTTCATGACTTCTGTCTTTATTTAGCTGTTCTGTTTCCTTCCTCTTCAATGGATTGCAAGCTGACATTTTGCAAATGCTCAATGGTCTTTTTTTTTGTGGGCAAAATGCTGCCCACTTCATGTTTTTAGCCAGTTATTCTTCACTGGCAATCTCTGAAAAATACACAACAACACCAAACTACCCAACCACCAGCCTCATATTCTTGAGGCTAGGCCATATTCTAAAGAGATCACTACATCTGAAATACCAGCACCTGCAATGTAGTGCTGCTCTAATGGAAAGGGTTTTTCACTTCACCAAAGATAAGCTCAGGAAAGAAGTCAGAGAACCAGACCCCAGACACTGCCAAAGGTGAGAAACAAGGTATAAAACTGCCTGGGATTGCTTCCAGCAGCAGTTGCTGTCCTGTTGTATGTGACTGAGGGAGTGTAAAGAACAGATTGTCCCAGGTTGTTCATTGGTAGACCACTAAGAGAAAGTGCTCTGTGCTTTGTGAGCAGTAATCCTGTGTTTTAGAAATAGAGCATATTTTTGAACAGTAATCCTACAGCTTAGAAATAGAGGAAGAAGAAAACTGCCAAATATTGGTGTTAGTGCTGAACTGCTTGTTTTGAGTACTCAGGCTGTGAAGCAGGGTAGTGCAGCATGTGTGTGTTGCAGGTATGTGTGTGTCCAGTTAATGGGGCAGGAATTTACAGGAACCTTGTGCTGCAGGTTTAGATCAACAATGGGTGTTTTAATCAATCAGCAGTGACTGAAAAACCAGAATTGTGTAGAATTCTTATTAAGCACAAATTGTAGAAAGGAGTCCTTGAAGATTTTGGAAAAGCCTGGTGGGATCCCTTCTTTCCCCAAAAGGGAGTAATTTCTTCCACAGCAGAATGGCAGTGACATACAGCCTCCAGCTTTACAGACCAGGCATGGCTGCTGCTGTGTCTATACAGAAATCACTTTGACTCAGCCAGTATTGATATCCAACTGGTCTTTTCAAACTTATCTGTGGAACTAAGCTTTTCTATTCAATTAACCAGGCCCAACAGTTTGACCAGTGATGGTGCTGTCCTAATGCTGTCCTATGGAGAATGAAAGCCCTGAAATAACCAGGATGGGGAGAACGATGTGCTGCATACAGGTAATGTGAAATAAAATCTGTCCGAGACAGCTCTCAGACCTGGCTCTGACTGCCTTGAAAATATTCCCTTAACCTGCTGCTCTCTCTGGATCTCCACAGACTTCGCCTTTCAGACAGCGTTAGATATTTGCAATACAACCTCTTCGCCATGCCACCAACCAGGAACTAAGCCCGTGCTCCGCTGCACAGGGCATACATGGCAGTAAATCGTCTAAGCCCTGAGACAAGTGGGGTCTGTGCTCTGTGCTCGGCACTGGGCACAGCTGGCGTGGGCACCGCTGTGCGACGCTTGGCACACCCGGCTGGACAGACCGGAGCCGAGCTGGAGCCCCGCTCGGGTTTGTCCTTCCTCGGCCGACCTACCTATATCTGCTGCAATGGCACTTGAAAAACTCGTTTATCGAGTTAAGGTCGCTGCCGATCGGGACCGCGCTGACGGGCGTGCAGAGCTGTGCCCGGTCCTTGCCGCCCTCCCGGCGGGGGGCACTGAGGGGGAGAACCGCTGGGAGGAGGAGGAAGGGGGGCGAAATCAGCGGCAACAGGCGGGAGGGAGCCGGGGACGGGGAGCGCGCACCCGCCGAGGGAGCAGCGGCGAAGGGAAGCGGTGGGGAGCGGAGGGAGGCGGGCGCAGCCGTGCAGGAGGGAGGAGCGGGCGGCCGGGAGCAGCCAATTCGGGGGACTCGTCCATTTTTCGGCGTGAGTCAGGCACGTCGGTGGGGTGATGCTGCGGCGCCGGGCAAGGGCCGGGCTAGCCGCGGGGAGCGGCCCGCCCGCTCGGGCCCGCAGTCTCGGCCGTGCCGGCGCTGCTGCGGAGCGTAGCGGTGCTTCCTCTTTCCCGTCCCTCGCCGGGGCCGGCGCCATGGCCGGGGGCGCCAGGCCTGCCGCTCCCTGACACCCGCCCGCCCGCGGAGGTACCGCGCCCGCGGATGCGGGGGCCGCGCAGGGACAGCGGGACGGGCTGAGGGGGCCGCGGGTAAGGGCAGCTCAGATCGGGGAGGAAGGGCGAGCGGTGGGCGGCAGAGCCGGGCGGGGAGAGGAGGGGTCCCGGGGTCTGGAGCTGGCAGGCTCCGTGCAGCTGCGGCCTCTGCCTCCCCTCAGGCTGCTGCGTGCGGGACCGCTCCGGGCAGCGGAAGGGAAGGGAAGAACTGCCCGTGCTCCGGGCGGAGCTGCCCGCTCCTCACGGAGCCTGGCAAGGAAGGGCTGCAGGGAGCGTCTTGGCGTTTCGTGCTTCGTCAGCCCGGCAGTGTTTTAGCTTTGGTTCCGTCTTGCTCCTACCTGTTCCTGGAGAAGAGGTTCCCGCCATGTCTCGCTACAGCCTCCACAACCTCCTGGACTGGATGTACGGCGGGGTGGACCCCAGCTTTGCCGGCAATGGAGGGCCGGAATGCGCCGCCTTTCTCTCCGGCCAGCAGCGCTTGCTGGAGAGTTTGGTCTTCCTCAGTGTGGGCACCGTGGAGATCCTCGTGTCCCTGTGGAAGCTCAGGCAGCAGCATGTCCAGGAGCTGGAGAAGCTGCTGCAGCAGCCCCAGGCTAAGCAGGAGAGCCTGGGCAAGAACGTGCTGCTGGTGCTGCTCTGCCTCATCTTTGGGCTGGAGGTGGGGTTCAAGTTTGCCACCAGGACTGTCATTTACCTCCTGAACCCCTGCCACGTGGTCACCATGATGCAGGTAAGGCTTGTGCAGGGTCACCTGGGAGTTTGCTTTTTGATGTATTTGCAAAATAGTATTTTTCCCCCCCCCCATAGTTGGTTTGTAGACTCAAAGTGCCTAGCAAAAATACAACTGCCAAGAATGGTATAAATATTTTAAAACATAGGTTTCGATTCAACATAGTTGAATCAAAATCTATCAAAAAACTCAAGTCAGATGAAAAAGTGAAATTGTAGCTATGACTAATGTCCAGATCTCTGGCTGAAAGTGTAGATAATTAAGGCTTTCTCACCACTCGCCTTCACCTGATCCTTGCTTCAAGAATAGAAGGTGCTGTTTTCACTGACAGCAGTGCTAAAATTTGCACCAAATCTAATGAAAACAAGATTAAATGCAAAACCAGCTATATAATTTATGTGCAGTTTTCCAAGTAAGTGCCTTCTAGGGGTGTGATTGTATTTCATGAAGGTGTTGGGAGTAACAAATTACTCATTGTGCAGATACTGTTGGTTTACCTTTCTAATTTTAGAGGCTGAATAGTAAAGAAACAGGTGTTACCTGTTTCTCATGTGTGGGGTGAACAAACTGATGTGGCCTAATATGTGTGGATAAACCATTTCCTTTTATGACTTGTGGCATGGTTGTTGATGTGTAACAATGTGCAGTTTGTGTAGATTTCAAAATAATGGATACGTAGACAAACTGTTACTGAAGTGGGCTATCTAAAGCTTATAAGCTGTGTTTGTTAGTAGTTCTGTGCATGTACTTAACTATCAGTTTTGCTGAGCTTGTTAAGGAGTGTTGGAGATGTCAAAAATATTATTATTTTGCTAATTTTATACCCTCAACACTGAATAGCTTAAAAAATTCAAGGTCAAGAATTAAGTGAAGAATGTCAAAAAGGCTTTCATAAAAGTTGCCATGATAGCAATGTCTGTCTAAGATCAATAACAGATGAAAATCAGATCAATGCCATCCTGGGTCTCCTATTGCAGTGTGTGAGGTGATCTGGGCTGATTCAGATCTAGCCAGCTGTTGGATTCAAACCTGGAGAGCATTTCCTAAAAGGCAGGGAAAGATCTTTTCTGGTTGTTCCAGCAGTTTGAGAGATGGGTTTTGTTTCAAGGACAGGGGAAAAACAAGCTGATACAGCAACATTCAAGACCTTTACAGCAATTAATTTACAGTTCCAGAAATAATTAGTAGGTTATGTAAATTCCTAGGCTGTGATGCAGTGTTTGCTCAGTAATTTATGGGACACTTCCTTCCTGTGAAGTGATATGCATTGTTGTGAAATCAGTGAGTCAGTATTGGGGTGAAAGTATGCAAGGACTATGTAGAAATAATTAAAATAAAATAACGTGGCCACATTCCCTTTCTAGGCAGTGTTCAATGATAACTGGGAAATGTTCCTATTAATTCTCTGGAAAAGAGGTGAGGATATATTAACAGTAGGATTTGAGAGTTTAGTTGTCTTTATGTTATGATGCTAATGGTAAGTGTTCAGCTGAATGCTTACACAGACCTGGGACAGCTCGTTCTGTTCACCTTTCAATAGTGCCTCCTGAAAGGGAGATGGAATCTGTTGAAAGTTAAGCTCTGTAGGTAGGCATTGCCATTTCTGAATCTCTTTTTGACTAATAGTGAAGTTTTTAAAATAATCCTAGCTAATTACTCACTAGAAATGGTGTTCCAGCATTTGTGAAATCGAGAAGGCGAGCATATTGGCAAAATGTGGAAGTCATGCCCCTTCATCCTCAAAAAGATGTATTCAGAATAGGCCTAGTCTTATTATAGAGAAAGAAAATAATGGCAAAACCAATGGCTTTCAGCAGACAAAGAGAGTTAAATCCAAGGATAGTCAATGACCTCCACCAGCAGACAAGTAATACATAGTTGGAAAACATTGTTAGCCTGAATTTGCTGAGGGCAACAGATTTGTAAGATGAAATATATGAAAATATAATTTGTCCTTCACTTCTCTAATAGAAGACGTCCCCCTGGAGGGAGGATGGCTGGTGAAGCAGATGAAGAACACTGCCCCACCTGATTTTAACAGCTGGTAATAGGATACATACTTTTTATTACATCTTACATTGTAAACTAAGATGTTACTTTTCAGCCAAAAGCCTTCATGTAGCAGTTCTTTGTTTCACATTTAGTGAAGGAGTAGTTAGAATTTATATCAAAAACTTGTTCTCCATTATTTGTTCCTGTACCCCTGTTCCCATAATTTGATGCACAGAATTTGCAACCTGCTATTCACAATCAAGGTAACTTAATGCAAATGAGTAAACACAGGTGTCTCTTGATGTCCTGAAGACCCCAGCTGGAGTTAACAGGCAATTAAGTGTAGACAGGAGCCAGGGCTAAAATTAGTCTGTATTGCAACAGAGAAACTTGTAACCAAAAGAAGAAAAAAGTAAGAAAAAAGCCATCTAAAGCAGAGGTTGTAGGTAACACTGGCAGGGTGAAGTAGTCTCAAAAGGCCCTTTCCAACCTTGGTTATGTGATTATTATAATGTTTTTCTTTTAAAAAGGATCTTCAGTTTTAAACACTGAAGGTTATGACAGACCAGTCTGTAGAAATTAAAATAGCATGTGTATAATTTTATTGAAGCCTTAAGGAAGTGGCAGAAAAATGACTAGTCTTATCCTGAAATGATAGGTACAGCCAGTTGTTCTTGTAAACTGTTGTGGATTTTGAACTTTTGTATGTCTAGGTCTTCTTCCAGAATGGTGTTTTGATACCAATATTAAAATAAATTTTATAGTTCTATTTAATTCTAGAAAGAGTTTTGCAAGAATAGTTTCTCAGTGGTAAATTTCAGCTGGTCAGTTATTGTAATTCTCTTCCCGTTCTTCACAGAATGATTCCACTTCAGCCAGTTAAGGACTGACATTTGTTTAGAATAAAGCAAAGTGTGTTTGTAGGAAACATCTGTTTTGCTGGGTTATTGCTTTGGTGATCTTTTTAGGTAAAGAAAAGAAAAGGTAAAAGGGAAGCAATAGGTGGAAAGAAGGATAGGTTTCACCTAGTGATTTTGGTCTGATGTTTGCATAAATAAAGTGAGTGCTAAGTGCATCTGCAGCTCAGTAAATACTAAATTCTGTGTTCATTATTTCCAGTTCTGGCTTCTTTAGAGACCTGGGTCCTTTCTGTCCTCTGCAAAAGAGGTTACTGTTTTTTGAAACAATGGGCTGTTTTCAGAACTTACAGAATAAACATAGCTTGACTGAATTCTGCATTATTTGGGAATATGTACCAAAATATATCTAATTAATTGCTTACTCCCTTCCCCCCCGCTTAATTTGCATACATGGTTCCTGTATGTATTGTAGTATTTGGAAGAATCAGTTAAATTTTGTATGGTTTTTTTTTTTATATTCTGGCTCTTCAAAACCTTGAATTAAAATTAAAGGGGCAATATTTCCTGTGAAAATATATACATTTTTCAAAATGTAAGTCTGTGAACATAAGTCTTTCTTTTTCCAGCTGCAAGTTAACTTGTGATGCTTTTCCTTACAGCTGATGGCTAGAGAGGAAATTCATGCTGATGTGTGGTGAAAAAGGGCAGATGAAGAATTAAAGCACTGACAGCAGCAGTGTTTCTTGTTGGCAAGCCTCATTTCTTGCAAAGGAGTGCATTTTCCTTCCAGAATGATGATAGCAGCCTCAGGGACAGAGACAGGGAGGGACACTCAGGAGAAGATCCACCAGTTCCTTTATCCCCAGTCTGCAGTGCTCCAGAACCATTGGTCTGGCCTTGCTTGGACAGCTTGATCTACCCCTGGTTCCCAGAACTGACAGGTTTTTGTCTTAATTGTTACTTTTGTCTTAATTTGTTTTGTCTTATTTTTAAACAATGATTTTATTGTGTTTAAAAAACACAATCATCTGGAGTTTAGAGGCTTTTACTGATACTGCAATTATTGTAATAATTACATTTAGGACAGGAAAAGCTTTTCTGTGATAGCTTTAACACTGTTTATACTTTGTTTCACCATTGTTTTTACTTTTAGTGAATCCCAGCATATAGCAAGAAATGGGAAAATATTATTATGAGGCAAGGCAGGGTTTCTTAGTCAGAAATAAGAGTAATTTTTTGTTGAGTATAAAGAGGATTACAAATGTGTCCTAAGGCTGTGATTCAATTTTCTTTGTTTGAAGTGATTATGGACCAGGCTTTTTAATTTAAACAAGATTTGGCCAGTGTTGTTTTATCCTGAGCTTTAGTCCGGGTGACAGGACCACAGGAACACGTCATGGTGCTGGTGAATGTTCCAGTTCAGGAATTGGAGTCTAAAGCTCTTAGTTAAGCCTTTGTTTTAAAGTTGCTAGAATTTGGAAATACTGATGTGCTTCAGGCTGTAATGAATTCATAGATAATTCTCTCCTTGATTCTGAATGTTCTTAGGAGAAAAGAACATAAAAAGTGGGGAATTGACAACAGGCATCTTGCTCTCTAAGCAGGAGTAGGAACTGCATGATTGGAAACTGTGGATGAAAAAGCTTAGCTTTCTCTGACCCCAAATATTTACACTGAGTGTTATCATCTAAAGGCCACTAGATGAATGATTAGGTAACCAGATATTGGTTTGTTTTGCTGAGATCATCACACATTTAAAGCAAATATCATTCAAAGCGTGACATGTGTAGTTTGAGCAAGATGTTAAGGAGATAAAGGCCTCTTTTTGTTTCTTTTTTCTTCTTTTGTTTAGATTTTTTTCCAGAACAGAGCTTTCAGCGTACTATCCAGTGTTATGATGTATTGCTGTTGGCTGCAATATATATTTTAGGATGGATTTTTTTTATCCTATTTGACAGTTTCACACACCATTCCATGTAGGTTGTTTGCTGGTAACTTAAATTGATGTTTCAGGAGTAGCTGCCTGAAACAGGCAAAAAAGAAATCCTAAATCTAGTAGGATTTCAGTGGAGTGGTGAATGAAAACAGCAGCAGTAACTGCACTGGGCACCTTATAAATTTTGGGCACTGGGATGCCTTTCATCTCAC